TTTGTTAAAGGAGGAATGTAATAGGTTGTCTATCTTTGAGTAGTTTGTAATTAGTTATTTTTTCTTTAATGCAAGATGCATTTTCTTTCAAAAAAAGACTAGATAACTTAGTTTTAAATAGAAATGTTAAGTTTTTTAAAGACTTTTTTTCTTTTAATATACAAATAAAATAATAAGATTATATATAAATAATTTTAAAAATTAAAATATATTTTATAACTTTAATTTAAAATAAAATTTTAAATATATTTTTAGTTATTCAAGCGACTTGATGAGCTTACAAGCCAAACTAGCTTGAGATAGAGCTTGTATAATACATGAGCTCAAATCTTGTGGCTTGAGAAGCTCGACTCATGAACTCGTTGACAAGTCGAGTTCGAACCGGCTCAGCTCACTTAGACCTCTATCTCATTGCATTACTACAAAATTGCCCATGCCTTTCTATGCTCATACCTTCAATCACAAGATAAAATGTTCAGCTCTTTAAAATGAAGTAAATATACCAAAAAAAACTTTTAAAAAAATAACTTTACCAGTGATTTAGGATTCATTTGGGACGTTTTTTTATTACTTTGTAAAATGAAATTTTAGTACAAAAATAAAAAATTTTGTACAAAAACGACAGTAAAAAAGTCATCCCGAACGAAGTCTTAATTTCTATTAATAAAATATATTTCCCACATTCTATAATATTAATTTGCGCCATTCCCATCACAAGTTTTCCTTTGCTACGAAAGAATGCGTGTTGAAATCATCATAGAACCAAACAACCATTCAACTGTCACTCCACAACTTCAAAGAAGAACCGTACCATTGCGACGACTTGACCACTTTGCTAACGGCCACAATATATAACCACCAAAAGTTATATATTTACAAAATTTCGCCATTTAAGCACTTTGCTATCTATTTTTATTTTGCAAAATCATTTTCTCTCTCTATCTCATACATTTCATATCATTTGAATTCCTCTCTCTCTGTCTCGAACTTTTATTCTGTCCAGTGAACGTACGCAGAGAAAGGTTCAGTTTTAGGCAAAAAAGTGCCGGTACTAAAAACTCGGTACACCTCGGTACCGGCGCTTTTTTGCCTAAAACCGAACCTTCCTCTACATCCTTGCACCGGACCAAATAAAAGTTCCTCTGTCTCTATCTCTTTCTCTCTCTATATCTTTCTCCGCGTAATGACTGATCTTTTTCTGGAGAGTTGAATGACTAATATGAAGCATGTGTGCAGCATGGTTGAGCCATAAAGCAGGCTTTGAATCAACGAAGGCTAATTAAATTCTCATGTACTAATTGAAATCATCATGATTTATCAATAATTGTGTAAAAAATGTAAAAAAAAATTAATTACAATTTCCTTTTTTTTTAATTTAACATTATTAAAAGTATACAAAAGAGCTACTTGGAATGAAGAAAAAAAATTATTTGATAGAGATTTTATAATGAAAATCAGGTGATAGAGCATTATAGAATCTTTTTTATAGATTAAAGCGAGTGAGCCCTTCTGTTATTATATTTGATCTTTCTCTTCTTTTGAGTAAAATATTAGTGTTGAAAGGAGAGTCAAACACCATTATTGTGCAGAGCATACAGAGATGGTGCTATCTGGCAATAGAATCAGGAGAAAGATGCCATATTCTAAAGCTTTGAATATAAATTTTGCTGATACAAGAGAGACCAGTGATGACTTTGAACATTCATTTGGTCAATAGAATTTTAAAAAAAAAAACATATAGATTTATACAACTGAAAGATTTGAGTAATGACTCATATTGTTTGAGTCAATAGAATTCATGACATGATATTTAATTTAATATAGATAAGTATAGTGTAAATCAAGTTGGTACATATTAAATAATTAAAAAATATATATACTTATAATTAAGACAATTGATAATTTGATTATAATTAGTTCATTCCTTCAAGATGGAGCTTCCATAAGAGAGTCAAATAAGCATCTACTAGTTTATTTAGATGATATATTGGCTACAAGAGGGGAACCATTTTGAACTTATTATCAAATAAAGGATAGATATATCAATAGTCACATGCTTTTATCCATAAATGAAAGATAGGATTCAAGTAGAGATGAAAGACTTCTATGGTTTCACAATAAATCATAAGGGTCTGAGTAAGGTGGAAATCAAATTTGGTGAGTAGGAGGCAAAACCATAGAAGCTCGATAGTAGTGGTGGCAACAAAATGGTGTTTAACCTCAATGGAGGTGCGGGCTATAGAACTTTATTTCTCGGCACTCCAAGAAACTATGTTTCAATTAAGATACATAATGCAAACACTTGTAGAAGATATATCTTCTATGTCATCTGATCAATAGCCACAAGTTAATCTGGTGAGTTGTAAAGAACAATGCTGTGATTAATAGTATCATATAGAAAGCACAATAGTCATTTTAATAATGGTCCAATGATTAATAGTGAGATGGCACATAAATCAAGTCAAATAATCAATCATGAAGGCTATATTCAGACACTTGTGGGCTCCGAAATTCACACCCAAGCCTCTCCACAATCCCTTTCTTTTCTTCGGGTTGTTGAGGAGAGCTTTAACAAGTAAGTTCCGAGGTAAAATTTCAGAATTCAAATTGAGTTGTAAATAAGACATTATCCAGAGATTTTGCCCTTATTATGCAAAGACTTTATGATCTGAGTTAAGGTTTCCTATAGGCGCAAGCCCCTATAGTTAAATACCACTCCCAATAACGAGAGAGAACTTTCAATTAAGGTTAGTCGTCAAACAAATACAGAGTATCTGGTGTATAGCAGCAATATGATTAAGGTATTTGAAATTTTGATATTAAAAATTTCATCATCTTGCCCTTAAAGCGGGTTGTAGGGGGAATGATAGTTAGATTAGATTTTAAAAAGGAGAAAAGATATGTGTATAAGTTAGTCAAACAAAGATATAGTAGTAAGGATTTAGTTCAAGTGAAGTGCATTAAGGATGAAGATAAAAAGTTGCTTCTTTTAGAAGAGGATATCCGACAAAGATGATTAAGGTATTTGAAATTTTGATATTAAAAATTTCATCATCTGGCCCTTAAAGCGGGTTGTAGGGGGAATGATAGTTAGATTAGATTTTTAAAAAGGAGAAAAGATATGTGTATAAGTTAGTCAAACAAAGATATAGTAGTAAGGATTTAGTTCAAGTGAAGTGCATTAAGGATGAAGATAAAAAGTTGCTTCTTTTAGAAGAGGATATCCGACAAAGATGGATGAGATATATTGCAAAGCTTTCTAATGAAGATTGTGAGAATACGATTAAATTTAGAGATCTTAGCACTTTAAATGAAAAGAAATTTTTTTATTTTTATCAGCGTATTAGTAAAATTAAAGTTATAGAGGTTTTAAAGAATATGAAGTGTGGAAAAACTAGTGGTCTTGATGATATTCAATAGAGGTATGAAAATGCTTAGGAGATGAAGAAATTTATTGGCTTACAAAACTTTTTAAAATTATCTTTATGACTAAAAGAGAAAGCATAAGATAAAGTTCCAAGAGAAGTTCTATGGAGGATTCTAGAAAATAAACAGGTTAATAATGCTTATATTCAAGTCATTAGAGATATGTATGCATGAGTTGTTACTTGTGTTCAAACACAAAGTGATTTGACCAAGTATTTTGCTATTTAAGTTGGATTATATCAAAGATCAGCAAGCTCTTATCTTTTTGCTTTAGTCATGGATGTTTTCACTAGACATTTACAAGAGGATCTACCTTGGTATTTGCTTTTAGCTGATGATATTCTTCTTGTTTATAAGACTAGAGAGGGAGTTGACGGTAAACTCGAATTATGGAGGTCAACCTTAGAGTCTAAAGATATTCGTTTGAGTAGACCTAAAACTAAATACATGAAGTGTAATGTTATTAGTAATAGATCTAGTGGAGGGTTTGTGATTTTGAGAGATCAAGTCATTAATAATTGTACTCATTTTAGATATATTGGGTCTATTGTTCAAAGTGATTGTGAAATAGATGGGGATATTATTAGTAGAAATCAAGTTGGATGGTTACCGTGGAGGAATGCTTCGAGTTTGTTGTATGTTAGAAAAGTACAACTCATACATAAGGAAAAAATTTATAAGATTGTGGTGAGACCTGCAATGCTTTATGAAGCAAAATGTTGGCCATATAAAATTAGAGACTGGATAAAAAATGAGTATATCCGTGAAAAGATTGGAGTTGTTCCAGTGACAGATAAAATTAGAATCTCCTTAGATGATTTGATCATGTAAAACAACAGCCTTCCAAGGACCCTGTTAAGAGAGTAGATGTATTATATTTGGACTATGTTAGATATGTAGAGGCAAGCCTAAAAAGACATTTCTTTATTACATTTAAATGAGAATTTAACTCTTAACATGACAATGGAGAAAATTGATTCATATAGCCGATCCCACAGTGGGATAAAGACTTGATATTGCTATAGTTGTTGTTGTATATAATCATTTTCAAGCTATGTAAAAAAGAGCATTATTTAAGAAAAAATACAAGGGGTTCGTGTTATAAGCAAACTTAAGTCATCTACAATCTTATGTCATTAGAGCCATCATACGATAATGTAAAGCAACAACTTGCTCAAATTGTCAATGATGCGAAAGCACTATCCAGCTTTTAGGTGAGAGTGAACGTAGTGTTATTGGCAACATAACTGAGAGCGATGCACTGTTGAGTTGAAAGAAATCAATGGTGCGTTTGAAAGTGAACCAATTAAAAGTTATGACATCATTTGAATGCAACCCTGCTACTAATTTGCGTACGTAGGCGACGAAGAGGTCGAGCGGGATCAATAAATTGAGAACGTAACACAAAGTCACATGCGAATGTACCATTGTGAGAAATGGGGGATTTAAATTATTATAATTATTTATTTCATCACTTCACTTCCAAGGAATTAATAAAAACAGAGTTTATCTGCTAGCTTTTTTGAGTCCATATAACAAAATAAGGATATATATATATATAAAAAGCAACGAAATAATATGAAGAGCTAGTACACATCCCCTTCAGATTAACGTAACTAATCTAGGAGCACAGAAGAAGTGATGCTTCTAAATAAGACTATATAAAAATAAGATGCAAAATACAATGACAGCCGAAGATGGAAAAGCCACCAAAGAAACACAGGAACCAGTATGCCATGATAAGTTGTCAAGTAAAACACCATGGGAACACAGATATTTTAAGTAGAAGAAGATCAAGAAAACTGCACCTCTCATTCTCCCTTCTTATAGTTGTCTTCCGGGTCACGAAGAGTTCCAAACAACCAATCCATCCATATAGTGTAATGCCCGTAGTTGTGGCGGTAAGTCGTGTGGTGGATTGTGTGGTAACCGGCACCCATTACAGGCCAGACTTTGCCATGAATGCAATCATGAATGTTTGCAGTCCAGATTGCTTCACAGAAGAGGAGAATTACATGCGTCATGAAGTGTGTCGGAATGACGAATAGGCATATAACATGGGGGATAGCCTGTAGGATTCCATCCAAAGGATGGAAAGCTAGCCCTGGAAATGCAAAGGTCACTATAAGGAAACTTGTTTATAATTTGCATTAAATTCTAGAATTCAAAAAAATTGCATAAGGATTTTTATGGATCATTAATAGGTTTGAATGGTGGTTTTTTCTCCTCTTATTATTATTTTAGGATTTTTTGCAGGACTCGGACCAATTCAGGCTACAAACCAAGTGGTGAGTGTTGATATTATTGTACCACAATGCTACAATCCTGAAGAAATTGTTACAATGTTCGATAATAAGAAAATCTGTCATCAAAGGAACCAAAGGTATGGTACATTAAAAAAGACTAAATTGTTTGCTAAAAAAACGCAAAATAAACTACGTCGCTATATTGAATAAGTTAAAAAAATGGATGTCAAGGTCAAGTTCAAAAATCTAGAGTCTCATCAAAGGAGAAACTTCAAGAAAACCTGTTGTCAGGTTCACATTTTCAAATATGCTGACCATTTAACTCCTAACGCAACTTACCCGGAAGTATACCAGACCAACAGATCTTTTTAATAAAGATAATACAATTTACCTGGAAGAGTACCATATCAACAGAATTTTGAATAACGATATGCAACTTGCTTGGAAAACTTCCAGACCAAACGAATTTTGAGTAAAGACAAGGCAACTTACCTGCAGAGCACCAGACCAGCAGAATTTTGAATCAAGATTGAACTTTGGTGCTGCAAGTTTAATCTAGAGTTACATCTATCATCACTTCGAAAATAAATGATTTGTGACGTGAATAATTTGAATGTATATTAAGTATTTTTCTAACTTGAAGGGTGTATGATTTTATTTTATTTTTTTCTATTCATTTTCTGAATGTAATTCAAATAAAAATATCAACGCTATATGAAATTTCTCATCTTAAAAAAAAAAAAAGGACCAACAGAATGAACTTTTTAAAGGTTGATGTCATTGAAAATCTTTTTGAAAGATGATAGTCACCGAAGAATTTGAAAAATCTCATTATAAGACATGCATCTCTATTAGAAGTAAAATCCCAGTTGTAATTAAATGAATTACTTGATTATTGCTTTATGCAAAATGGGTTGTAATTAAGTGGCATCTGCCACAATTGACTATCTTACACTCTTTTAAATTTCCTGCATTGATTGGATTATCTTTTATTGTGATTGTATTTTAGAAATAATTTCATTTCTTGTGCATGTGATTTGTCTGGAAGTGATTTTCATAAGGTTGTTAGGAAAAAAAATCTTTTACTCAAAACAAATAGAAATTTCCTAAAGAACATAGAAACATAAATGGCTAAAAAGACATAAATGACGCCCGACCGGCCTATATCATATTGCTTCAACTCTTTGTTTAGGCATCTCCTCGACTATGGGTTTGGATAGACCACTCAACCTATGAAAGTAGAGTTCTATCTCAGAAGAGGAGTGCTCCTTAGGACAAATTTATTTTTTAAGCATTTTTCAAATTTCAAAATTATACAAACTTTATGTATGATTAGAAATTTCATTAAAAACTAACAAAAAATAAAATATTAATTGCAACTAGAATTAGAAGCATAAATACCCTTTATATGTCTAGGACTATTTAGAATCTTTAGATATCCATCCCAAATTCATTAACTAAATAACAACCTACTCTATCTTTCATTTGCAAAAGATTGGATATCATAGTTTTAAAATTGATTTGGTGAGTTTAGTTAACATTCCACTCCAATCAAGATGTAAGCCCCAAAAAGTCATGTCTTCCTAAAACCCTTTATAATTTAAAGATATAAATCCCACATCACTTTTGCATTTCGTTAGAATAGGTTTGAGCAAGTACTCTATAGTGCTAACCCTAGTTTTTAAGTTCCGAGGCTGATTTCACATCATAAGCCTTAACCCACTAGGAATTTCATTGATCTTTTCATAAAGAATCTAAGTCCAAAATTTCTAACAAAATTATTAACTTAAACCTAGAATTTCAATCTCAAAATAATAATATTAACTTAAACCTAGAATTTCAATATCAAAATAATAAAGCCTAATAATATAATAATTTGAGATACCTGAGTTTCTCAGTTTCATGTATGTCTTTCCTCATCTCTTTTGATTTTTTTAATTGAATTTTGATTTAAAGCTCAACATAATTTAGAAATTATAGGCAAGGATGACCATGTTTCATGACACCACAGGAAAACACGTGAATACCGTCGGATATTCCGGCGGAATTTTTTGTGTTGGTAAATACAGCGTTTGTACCGGCACATAATGCGAAGGAATATTAATGGCGTTTATTCCGGCGCATCTTGCGACGGAAACTTGTCGACGTCCATTACGCCGGTAGTAACGTCGGAAATTAGCAGCTTTTCATTATTACTGGCGGAGTTTACGGCGGAATATGTCCGGCGCATTTACCGGCGGAGAATACGTCGGCTATTTTAAACTCAACGACTTGGAACCGACGAAACGTGCACTGGAAAAAGTTCCAACGTCCGGGACGCCGGAAAGTCTGCCGGCGAAAGCCTTATTTCCGAACACAACCCGTCTGGCTGCTCATTTCATTCTGGTCTTTCTCTCGCATCTTCGGTCTCTCTCTCGTCACCCCAGCGTCGCCCGCCCTAGATCACCGTCGCCGAGCTTTGTAGACGTTCACGGGACGTCGCCGACGATCACCGCCTTCGTCGCTGGCGAAAGGAGACCGGTTTCCCAAAATTTGACCGTGAGTTACCGCCGCCTCCCGATTTTCCGCCGCATCCAGATTTTGTCGATTGTAAGATTTTTTTTCTTCATGTTATTTCTTATTAGACATTTGCTAGATGATGCACATATTAGATATCTTTTTTGTTGATAAATTTTTCAAAATCAATTTGGATTCATGCTGGGTAGGTCTATTATGGAAGCCATACTTTTATTGAGAGGTTTGATGGAGAAATATAGAGAGAATAAGGAAGATCTACATATAATTTTTGTTGATTTAGAGAAAGCATATGATAAAGTTCAAAGAGGAGTGCTATTAAGAGTTCTTGCAAAAAAAAAGAGTTAATAGCGCTTATATTCAAATTATTAAAAATATGTATGCATGAGTTATTACTTGTGTTAAAACACAAGGTGGTTTAACAAAGTAATTTCTTATTCCGATTGGATTACATCAAGGATAAGCCTTAAGTCCATATCTTTTTACTTTAGTCGTAGATGTTCTCACTAGACATTTACAAAAGGTCCGGCGCAGTTACCAACGTATGTTTTTTGCTGATGAATCGGTGCAATGATGCCGACGTTTTATTTCAACCGGAAATACCGGCAGAAAACGCGCTGGAAACAAGTCGTAGCTTTAGTTACGGCGCACCTTACGGCGTCTTATCCGCCGGAGTTTCCGGCGACTAAAGGGCGCCGGAAACAAGTCGTAGCTTTAGTTACGACGAACCTTACGCCGGTATTTCTGTCGGATATGTACGTCGTAAATTCCGGCGTATATAACGCCAGAATAATCTGTTAAGAAACGACGTTTTGGCTAACACATTTTGCACCGGTAATGCGTCAAAGAGTGCGCCGGAAAAGTTTCCGGCGTCTTAGAAACGTCGGAAGACATTTTTCGACGCGCACCAAACCGGTGTACGAAATTCCGACGGAAATGCGCCGGAAACCAAGGATTTCCGTCGTATTTTACGTATTACCGGTGGATACGTTCCGCCGGTAATATCGGGTTTTCCTGTAGTGTCATAATGTGGTTCATCCTATAAGCTTAAAGTTATATGACTAATCCTTGAGCATCAAAGATCTATAATTTCTCATAATCATGCTGCTCGTAAATTCGATCAAAATTGGCAAGGACTCTTCATTATTAAAAAAAATCATATGAAGGAGTCTATCAAGGAAATGTACAAGGCATATACCTCCTATAAATAGCCACTACTTCAAATACTATTGTATGCAATTGACTAAGTTTTGCATAAAATCAATAAACCAATAGTGAAGCAATCATTAGTGGCTCAACATACTCTTCCAATATAGCAAATTTTTATACATATGGTCTGGCTAGATATGTTTAAAGATAAAGCAAGGCTACTACCAATTAACAAGCACAAAGAACCAAACTAGTTATGTTGTTATCAACCCATAAGCCCAAAAGGTAAAATAGCGCTATTTTTTAAAATTCTAATGCTAAATAAAGATAAATTTTACGTAAAGAAAATTGGCCAAGCTTTACAGTTAAAATCTCTAATATTAATTTGACAACTCATGGTTATAACCAAATAACACTACTCAAGATAGAAACAATTCCTTTCAACTCACAAGCCTAAGGGCTGAATAATCTCATTTATTCAACAAACTCTAATATATAAGCCAACAAGCCAATAAGTCCAAGGATTGAATTTAAACATCAAAATCCAATTCAGAAAGACAAATAGTTGAACTGGCAAAATTTTAGCTCGCAACAAGGCTAAGATGCCTTATTGATTCAACAAACTCTAGTAATTGAGTCAGCATAAAAAATTCAAGCTTAATAAGCTCAAGGACCAACATTAAAAATAAAGTTCTAATTCAACAAGCCTGCAGGTTGAACTTACAATAATTTTTCAACACACAGGCCTAATGGTTGAGTTATTCATTGATTCAACAAGATCTAGCAGTATCAGAGTACAAATTCTCACACAAAACAAAGATTAATTACAACTAAATAAATGTGTTTGTTCATTGATTTTTATATATATGAGAGTACAAATGTGATATTAAGATATATCTATATAATTTTGCATAGTTAAAATACAAGCAAACGAGCTACAATGTAATTTTCAAAAGACCAACTAGTTTAAAAAAAAAAATGTTATACGAAAACATATTTATTTTGCTTCTTATCGAAAAAAAAAATGAATGATAATTATAGCAAATCAAATGATGAAAATATTATTTTCAATCACAAGAATTAAAGCATCAAAAGTTTCATAAAGCAAATCAAAACAAGGTGGTGAGTAAAGTCTAGACTAAGTAATATAGTTTTCATCAAATCAGCGAGCAAAAAAGAATCTTTTTTTTATTTTTATAAAATCAGAAAAATATGATTTAAAATACTAATATGATGAGAATGCTACCGAAAAGAAATTGCACAAAAAGATTTAAACTGAAGGTACAAAAATAATGAAAAACTAAAAGAAAAAATTAGCACACGAGAAATTAAAACAAATTAACAATTCAATTTGTGATTATACAAGATATTATTGAATTTTTGTATAAGATAAATATATGAGATGAGAGATCACATAAAAACCAAATAAAATTTAAAGTTCTTTCAGAAATTGATCCAATGATAAACAAAATTTATGCAAAAGTACCAAAGATCTTGAATCAAATAGACTACAACAAATTCAAATGCTTTCTCCAAGTAACCTTCAAGAAAAGTGATTTAATCCAAAAAAATGAAATAAATGAAGTACATGACCTTTAGTTTGCTAGAGATCCAAGAAACGAAGAAGAGACTAGCTTGTAGTGTCATCTAAGAGAAGATGAAAGCAATTGCCAAGAGGAAAAGAGCATGAAAAAAAAATTTGGCCACAATCAAAGAATCTAAAACATTCAAAGAAGTTGGAGAAATTTAATTAGGAAATAATTCAAATTGATGATATTGATTTTATCAAATTAAATCAAAGTTTAATTTAAATTAATTAGGGATTAATAGGGCCCCACAGAATTTTAACCAAGCAAGATTCAAGGGAGAAAGATTTGACCAAGGCATAAATCAAGGGAGTGAAATTTCAATTAGCCAATAGGAGGTAAACTCAAGGATTGATGAGGTGAAAAATATATCAATTTATAAAATAAACAATTTAACTTATAAGGGAAGAGAGATGGGGGGTTGGCCACATGCATTAGAAAATTTTCTAATCCACTTCCTCCATGAAGATTTTTTTTTTTTTCCTCCATGAAGAATTTGGCCAAGCTAAGGGAAGAAGGATGGCTAACTAGGTAAATATGTAAGGAGATGATTAATTTATTAATTAAACTCTAGAAATTTAATTAATTGAATTAATAAACTAATTAGCATAGAATATAGATAGCACTCCAGAAGATTAATTTATTAATTAAACCCCATTTCATTTGCTGGAGAGCACTATAGATTAAAGATATTGCTTTGGTTTATATATTGTGCTTAAATTTAAAGTTTATGTTGCATTGAATTGATGATAATTAACTATGAGGGCTAGCACTCATAAGACATTCTAACACCAAATCTATGTAAACTCTTCTTTAGATATTATTAAAAATCTGGTTTAAACAAATTAATCCTAAGTAATTAATAACACTCAACCTGCATAATATAGACTTGAGCATGCATTATGAGATAGTGTTGGAGGATCAAAATGTTTGCAACATTGCATATGCTGCATCTTAGTTCAGCTCAGAACCTCAAGACAAGTAAAGAGATATATTTTCATTGAACATACATGAATAAAAGTTTTTAGGACAATTCATTGGTTAAAGAGATATTTTTTACCTTGCTAAAAATTTCCAAGGATCATCAACAGAAGTTTCATGGTCCTGTTACTAATTTGCAAATAAAAATATTAATTTTGTGATCTTGTTTTGTGGCAGTCATATGTTATATGATAAATTGTCTAAACGGTCAGAAAACTGTCTCTGACCATTACAAAAGTAGACAATAGAAAAAATTAGTTCAAATTTACTTACCAGCGAAGGGAGAGAGTGTGTTCTGTTTATTGTAGATGTGATGAGTTGCATGAAGATGCTTATATAATGGTTTGATGTCATGTAGCTCCCTGTGCATCCAGTATATCCCAAACTCACAGAGAACAAGGTAAGTCAACAAGTAGACCATGTACATAGGCCAGCCAACTTCACTAATCGTAGAGAAGCATTTGGACCATCCACTTTCAACCATGTACTCTGAAAGTGTAGGAAGAGCAGAGTACCAAGGCATAGCCTTCATAGCAACTATTATTTGTAATTTCATGGCCCTGTAAGAAGGTATAGAATCTGAAAAAGTGAAAGATACATCAGATAATGCTCAACAAAGTATACCGATTGGCTCTATATCTAAAACTGATTTTTTCATTACATCAGATAATGCTCAACAAAGTATTATGATTGGCTCTATATCTAAAACTGGTTTTTTCATAGTGCAATAAACCAAGGTAGCATGTCAATCAAATGCTTTAGCGGGCAGAATTCCATGGCGAAAAACAGAAAGCCTGCAATTCCCCAAGGGAAAAAGCTTGAATGACAGAAAGTGGAAGAATTGCAAGAAGCAAATTACATTTGAGTCCAACAAGAAAAAGCTGCAAAAAGATAATCTCCATTGATGCAAACTGAATGCTCTAAGGTAAACACATAAAAAAGAACAATGAATTACTCAAGTGACGTACAATGATGATTTGCATGGTTGAAAGCTCAAATCTTCTGCACAAGAAAGCGCTAAAAAGTTTTCCAGGGTGAAATGGTTATTATCATATCCACGTGCACAAATTTTTGGGAAAGCTACAAGTAAAATCCATTAGAAGGGATACTAATTACATTCATTAAGCATAATTTTTTGAAAGATGACAGCTTCAGACTTCAATCCAAAGGCATCAAATATGAGTTGAGTGGGAGCGCATCACATTCACACACCGGAACTCGAGATTTTTCTATAATTAAAATGATTTTTCCAAACTGTAACTCAACAATTTTTATTTGTGCATGTTTAATAAAGCCAAAGTGAACAAGGATTGGACTCAGAATATAAGTTTTATTTTTGGAGAAATGTACAATCATTATTAACTCAATAGTTTTTATTTTTGCATGTTTAGTAAAGCCAATAGAGAAACAAGAATCGGACTACAGTAAAAGCCATTAGAAGGGATAGTATTTACATTCATTAAGCTTAAGATTTTGAAAGATGAAAGTTTTAGATTTCAATCCAAAAGAACCATCAATTCAGAGTTCAATGGGAGCCTGTCACATTGGCATATTGAAACTGGAGATTTTTCTGGTACAACTAAAATGATTTTCCAAATTGTAAATCAATAGTTTTTATTTTTGCATGTATTATTAAGCCAAAAGTAAAACAAGAATAGGACTCAGTAATATTAGTTTTCTTTTTGGAGAAATGCACAATACAAGAGATTGGATGAAAAATACGCGCCAAAAAACTGAATCGCCATGAAGCGTAGGGTTTACATGTGCTTAAAACAATGTCAGGTCTACTAATATTTTCAGATATTACCAGAATTTACAATACAACAGCAACATCATCATCATCAAGCCTTTATCCCACTATGTGGAGTTGGCTACATGAATCATTTTTCTCCATTTTGTCTGATTAAGAGTCAAATTCTCATTTCGATCTAATAAAGAAAGGTCATTTCTAATATTTTCTAACCAAGTCTTTTTAGGCCTACCTCTACCTTTCTTAACATAGGTTAAATCTAATACATCTACTCTCATAACCGAGTCATCGAAAGGCCGCCGTTTTATGTGACCAAATCATCTAAAGCGACTCTGACTAATCTTATCTGCCACTGGAGCTACTCCAACCTTTCCACGTATATGCTTATTTCGTATCATGTCTCTAAGAGTAAAGCCACTCATCCACCTGAGCACCCTCATCTCTGCAACACTTAACTTAATATTCTGCTTGTTTTTAATGGCCAACATTCTGCGTCATAAAGCATTGCAGGACTAACCACCATCTTATATGATTTTCCCTTAAGTTTGATTGGTACTTTTCTATCACACAACAAGCCCGATGCATTCCTCCACTTCATCCATCCAACTTGAATTCTACTAATAATATCCCCATATATTTCACCATCACTCTGAATAATAGACCCAATATATTTAAAACATGTACTCTTATTAATAACTTGATCGCTCAAAATCACAATCCCCCCACTAGATCTATTACTACTAAAATTATACTACATGTATTCGATTTTAGATCTACTCAAACGAAAACTTTTAGACTCAAAGGTTGACCTCCATAATTCAAGTATTCCTTCAATTCCCTCTTTAGTCTTATTAACAAGAAGAATATCGTCAGCAAAAAGCATACACCAGGGAACATCCGCTTACAAATCTCTAGTAAGAACATCCATGATTAAAGCAAAAAAATATGGGATTAAGGCTGATCCTTGATGTAATCCAACTGAAATTGAAAAATACTTGGTCAAACCACCTTATGTTTGAAAGTATGAAACATCAACTTAATTCCTCTATAATTTGCACAATCTTGTGCATCACCTTTATTCTTAAAGATAAAAATCAACACACTCATTCCCCACACATCTGACATCTTTTTAGTCTTCAAAATAATATTAAAAAATTTAGTAAGCTAAGAAATTCCTTCATCTCCTAAGCATTTTCATACCTCTATTGGAATATCATCAGGTCCAACAATTTTCCAACACTTCACTTTCTTTAAAGCCTCTCTAACTTTAGTTTTAGTAATACACCCATAAAAACAAAAATCTCTATTTTCATTTAGAGTATTAAGGTCACTAAAGTAAATCGTATTTTCACTATCTTCATTGAAAAGCTTACCAAATATCTCATCCACCTTTGTTGAATATCCCTTTCTACAAAAAGTACTTTTTGATCTTCATCATTAATGCACTTTACTTGAAAAAAATCCTTACTATTTATATCTATTTGTTTTGCTAGCTTATACATATATCTTTTACCCACTTTATTATCTAATCTATTATATAAATCATTAAAAGCTAAAGTCATTGCATCACAAAATATTTTTTTTAGACTCCTTACGGGCAACTTTATATATTTTCCTATTTTTAGAATCTTTATAACAAAATCAATTTTAATAACAGTGCTTCTTATTTTTTATTTTTTCTTGCACATTTTGATTCCACCACCAACTATTTTTACTACTAGAAGTTTTCCCTTTTAATACTCCAAGCACATCTTTTGCAATATTCTTAGTATTACAAGCTAATATTTCCTACATAACATTAGCTTCCTCATACACCGACAAAATTTAAGATCGTGAATCTTACTCTTAAATATATTTTTGTTAGAGTTTTTTAAATGCCACCATTTAATCCTAGAACAATGATATACTATATTTTGCATACTCTGTCCATTCATCTTAAAGTTCAAAATTAATAAGCGGCGTTGGGTACATAGACTTCCATTTGGAATAACTTTACAATATGTGCAATTTAAACGATTTATTTTTCTTACAAGAAAATAATTAATCTGAGTTTTACTATTTTCATTCTTATAAGTGATGAAATACTTATCTCTTTTCTTAAATAAGGTATTAGCAATAATAAAATCATAAGCTAGAACAAAAATCTAATATAGTCTTACCACCTTCATTAGTCGCTCTAAACCCATAGCGATCATGAATGTTTTTAAAAAATCTCTACCTCTTTACCAACATGTCCATTTAAATCTCCCCAATAAAAACTTTCTTCAAGAGATTTTTTTTCGTATTAATTTCTTTTAAGTCTTTCAAAAAATTTAATTTTGAGTACATATCCAAGCTTACTTGAGGAGCATAAACACTTATAATATTAATAATCTTATCATCACCAATAATCTTCAAAACTAGAATTTGATCTCTAATTCTATCAATTTTTATAATATTATTTTTCAAACTCTTATCTATAATCACACCTACACCATTTCTAATACGACTCCTATCAGAATACCAAAGCTTAAACCCTAAACTATCAATCTCCTTGGTCTTCTCCCCACCCATTTAGTTTCCTGAATGTATAAAATATTTATCTTCCTATGAAACATAATATCAATTAATTTCATTAATTTGGCTATAACAAAACCTATATTCCATTATTATACCATAATTTTAGTTTCATGGACTAACTTATTTGCCCACATCCATCCATTATGTGGGAACTATTGCCCAAGGTTTTGAAAACCGGACCGGACAATGAACCGGAAGAAGGAGAGGTTCACAGTTCAACCGGTTCGACCGGTTGAACCGGGGTCGAACCGGATGACGTAATAAATATTAAATAATATTATTATTACAACAACAACAACAACATCAAGCCTTTATCCCACTACGTGGGGTCGGCTACATGAATCCTTTTTCTCCATTGTGTCCTATTAAAAGTCAAATTCTCGTTTAAATCTAATAAAGAAAGGTCATTCCTAATATTTTCTAACCAAGTCT